TTCACAAATGGTATCTGTCAAATAGAATGCTTTATGCATTATTGAATTACGCTCAATGTTGGCCTGCCATCCCCCTACGTGCTCAAATTACCCGTTGAAAAATCGATGTCAATTTGTATGATGCATGTATAGAGACCGGCAGAGCGATATCGAATTATTACTACACTTTCGAGCGGGGATGCTTACCTACATTCGCTTGGCATATTTTCGAGTGGATACTCTCATCATTTTTCTCGCATGATCCTCAGCGCAGGAGGGGGAAATTTATCGATGTTTCAGGCAGCGCAGCGAACATGAAATTTTATTGCCCGATTGACATGCGGCTTCCATTCCGATACAATAAACTTGCGTTCCACCGCTAACCAGTTGATTACGCACGGAAGTACATGAAAATGTAGCGCAGCATTCCGGGCTTCCAGAATCCTGAACGGTGGAATGCCTACATATATGGGTTTAATATTCGTAAATGATCCGATACACAACTCGCGGCTCATATTGTTTCCACTCGGTGAGTTTCACTCTTCCCTATTCTGGCAGCGACGATTATTTTTAACGATAATTGAAATGGACGAAATTTGATTATGATCGAATGAGCAACGTCAAACGACTCTTGTTTCAGTAATTTGCCAAATTATTTAGAGGATTGGAGGGAAACACAAACTCACAAAAAGGTTTTTCGGGATGTTTTAGGTCTCAAACATCGGATGGTTTGTTTGTAAGAAAATCAAAAAACCTTAACCCCATTGACAGGTGCAAAGATCTTAATCCTGTGGAAATGCTATCATTTGGCGTATACTTCTGCTACAATTCTACGACTAATTTCATTACATCGCATTAAAATTCCTTTCACCACAAGTTTTGGCTTGCTCCCATCCAATGCAGTGCCATCACCAGCCAAAGGTACCACCATAAGTTAGGTAGCGATTGTAGGTAGATAAGCTTTTCAAATGTGCGAGCACATGCTTCCTGCCCAATGCTTGGCAACCTGAAATGTGCTTAAGGAGTCCGGGTTGTAGTTTGATTAATGTATTTCAATTAACCTCGGAAAACGTTCATAATAGCATTTTTCATATTTCATTAGAACATTTCAAATTTACTGAAACCTTAAGAATTCATCCCTGCATCTGGCTCATCACGGATCTCGATGCCGGAAATGAATGGCACATGAGGGAAGAGATTTTACCTCCGACGCGCCACATTACATTAAATAAAAGGATAAAATTTCAACCACCCTTCTTTGCACCCTGCCCTCCCCGTAACGGGAGGTAATGCTCTTACCTCAATCTCAAACCTGGCTCGCTTGCTAAAAACACATCCACGGTGATGAAAGGCGGAAGAACATTTTCCTTGCTAGTCTTGAAGCGGCAGCCCGTAGCAGGTTAAGTGCAGGCAGGCTTCATTCAATGCAATTTGCTTCCTCAACCTCTGCCAGGAGGAACAGTCGGCAACGGAGGAGGAGAGGACTAAAACGTATCTACTTGTTAACTAAGGTAAGGAATGAAAAATTTAATTAGAGAAGGCACATATCTTTTCCCACTTTTCAAGCTCTTCTGCTGCTGATGCTTTTAAGGGATGGCGCGAATTTCATCGTCGTTGAATGAGGGGTTTGTCTGTAATAATATGATAGCTTAACGGAATGACGTGTCTACCGGAAAGGAGGAGACGGGTGACGGCGAGGAACTGCTGCAGTCCCATTGAAATTCCATAAGAGAGAAAGGATGATTTTCTTTTCTTCCGTACGCGATGCACCGGGCGAGAACTCGTAACTTACTTTCTTTACGATGACAAGCTTAAGAATGTGTCGGGTTGATGTGATTGAAGTTGATTGCTGAATGACTGGGTGGAACGGTTGCGACAAATAAGTTGTTTTCACGTAAGTCCGCTCAGGTCGCGTTTAACTGGGAGGGAAAGAATGTCAAGTGCTTTGTGGCAATGGAAGTGAGAAATTCTTAGTACACGGGAACGAAATGGTGAATACATCATATGTAAGACAAGAGATATGTTTTATGCAAGAAGAGAATTTACAACTTACTATAATAGCCGTCTAACCATTTATTTCAGGATAAATATTTGTTGACAGAACCACCTTAGAGTATTTTGTTAATTCAATACATTGGTTATCAAGGAAAACTTAATTCATATTCGTAACATAAGTTATATTAAATTATTTTACAAGTCTTTCAACGGCTAACTGTATTACAGTGTGCAGTGATTAACAGCAAATTGCATTTCTTTTTTAAAAAGTTACAGGAGATTATTGCACTTCTTGGTTGGGTGTACAAATAAAATCATGAGTTTTATTAAGGAGATTATCAAATGACTTCCTTAGAATTAAACCATATGCATTCATTTCTTACAGATCAAGTCTGAGTGTCTGAAACATGTTTTAACAATAGTCCCGGATAAAATATAGGTCAAGATTCAATTATGAATAAAATTAAATAAACACAAATTTTTAGTCTAATACAGAAAAGTTGAACCATATGTGACTATTTTGAAATATGTTAAGTCATAGTCTAGAACAACGTTTCTCAATCTATGGATTGTTCAGATGGGTCGTGACCCACCATGGCAATTTTTCTCTTTATCAAGCCAATTCAATGCTATCTGTTTTTAGGTTTAAGTTTCCATATGTATACAATAGTGCTGCATTAACGGGAGGGCGATAGTAGGCTTAAGCCAGGGTCTCCTATTTGGATTTCGACTCTTAAGGGTTGGATCAACCAGGTGGAAGGCGAACTACCGAATATATTAAAATAAGATATTGTAAATCAGTATCTAACAGCTCTTAAAACACCCACGTTGATAAAGTTTGTGATCGGTATTTAACTGAATTGTGTAGTTTTTACGTTTGGTTGAGTTTCTAAAAAAATTGTTTTTCCAATGCACTAACACTAGACAATCATCTAGTGCTGTTAGTTAACCTGAGTATCTGGTTTACAACATACAGATGAGATGAGTCAAAATCGCCACCCGGGGTAAGATGAACACCCTTCAATGTAGCATCAAAAATCCTATAATTTTGAAAACTCCTCATATGTACCCTTAATTAATGGTTCTAAGATGCAACGTTTCAAAAATGATTTATAAATATTCGATAATACCGAATTGATGAAAATATGACGTACGTAAAGAATTCTCACTTTTAATAAGTATTTGCTATAATCAATATCCGTTTTCTTGTGTCCTTTGTTGCAACTTTCAATTATAATTTCAACTTCATGCTGGTATTTTATTTTGATAAAATGAGGAACATAATTCTTAAAAACTCAAAAAATATCATATAACGACAAATTCTGATGCACGTTTTTCCACAGTATTTACAGAAAATAAGATGGACGGAAACAAATCAAGGAAAAAAAAGTCTTTTTATTTCAAGAAAGATAGAATTTGAAAATAGAAACCAAATAAAGGGCTCCACCATAACAAATAGACCAGGACCCTTAAGGTGGTAAAGACGGCCCTGACATACAGCATTGTTGGAGATAGGAATAAGATTTGTAAATATCAATCCAATTAGTTATGTGTTAAATTACCATTCCAAATGATACGGACTGTTATTGAATTGCGAGCAGAGAGAGGGAGAGAATTTTGTACTACGATACCGACCGATAGATAGCCGATGGTCACTACCACAGTAGGAGATAAGGGACGAGCAAATTTATGTAAATAGATCAGTTACAAAATACACGTTGAAGAAAGCAGAACTTACGTCGTCTGTTTCTCTGGTCGGTCGATGACAAAGTGATCGAGTGTGCATTAAAGTCCCCCCGTAAGAAGGGACTTAGTGATCGGTGGCTCAGTTTTGGGCAGTTATTACTGCAGAGTTCGTCTCGGTGCTAGTGATCTACTAGCGAAGAAAGTCCTTCTAGTGCGGCAAGACGTCTATCGTCAACATTGGTCCTTCGAGCCGGATAGAAGGCAATTCATACCGAGAAAGCTTTCGCGGGGTGTAAAAGTGACCATTTTGCTGACCAAACGTGCACTGGTCATCGGTGTTGCTGTCATTGCGTTTTTGCAAAATTTGCGATTCTGTGCGAACAAAGTGCGTGTGCGCTGTGGGGTATTATCAAGCCGGGTGATCATCAGTGGTGTGGAGAAGAATTTCAATCAATCAGTGCATTTCGTGCTTTTGCTTCGCGCGTGGGGATAGTACCAAGTCGGGTACTATTCGGCAGCAGTGGGAGATAATTCGATTAGCGCATACGATCTTGTGACGGTATTTGGGTGAACGATAGTGACTATCGCTTCTAGTGTTTTGATCGCGGGTGAAAAACGAAATCAAATCGTTCGAAACACTTTCTGCCGTCGGCAAACTGTTAGTGCGTGTATTTTGTGTGACGAACTAATTTGCGCTTGAGAGTGCACAAAGCCGTGTGTTACTCTATTTGGAGTAGAAGATTGGAAACTGTTCCTGGCCATTTTGCATCGTACGTTGCCTTTGTATGGTGGTGAATGACCCTGCATCGCCATCACGCCGCTGCCATAGTCAACGTTTGCTAGTTTCGCTTGGCGACGCTGTTGGACGCCATCGTTCACTGGCACCATTGGAACTACTTGGCGCAATTTCGCCGAGCCCTTTTGGAAAGCATCCGATCCCCAGGATTGCTCTCGGTGAGTCTGTTCCATACTAGTGCATGTGGCTAGCAGTAGCCGTGTTTAGAACATAAGAAAGTGGGTAGCTTTTCGATTTGCTATTGTGGCTTGGTGGTTGATACGGCCGCGAATCGAGTGGAAAACCGTTCGCGCCCTCGATTTGCGAGACCGCGAAGAAGTGGGTTCGTTCGCGACGGGAAGGAGAGATCGATTCGATTTAAAAACGACTCACTTCCGTCGATATTTACCGTCGTGAAGGGTTTTTACACCGCGTCGGGAAGGAGATATTTCGTTCGATTGTGTATCACCCTCGCCGTGTCGGTTCCGCGTAGAAACGGTTAGTTCGCGTCGGGAAGGATTTTTCGTTTCGATTAAACTACCGTTTCCGTTCGTTTTCTTTCGCGATGCCTGCCAAAGAGGAGAAACTATTGGCTGACCGCCTAACGCAGCGGAAAGGTCTTCTAAAAATATTAGATGCTCTAGAGCGGTTCATTCGTGAGTTTGACCACGGTCGTGATGCCTGTCAACTGTGTGTGCGAATTGAATCACTGGACAAGCTGAATGTAAGTTTCATGGATTGCCAGGACGTGATAGAGAAGTTGGACAACTCGGAGAATCTGGACACACACATCAATGAACGTGTAAATTTCGAGCAGCGGTACTGCCAGGCAAAGGGCTTCCTACTTTCAAAGCGCACTGGAGGTAGTAATCATTCGACACTGAATGATTCGATCTTAGCTTCACAACAACACCAACCAAGCTTTCACCTTCGTCTACCCAAGATCGACCTGCCTAAGTTCAACGGTGACTTCTCGCGTTGGATTTCTTTCCGCGACACATTTACGTCGATGGTCCACGTAAACGGTGACATCCCCACGGTCGCTAAACTTCAGTATCTGCTCCAGTCTCTTGAAGGCAGTGCCAAGAAGCCATTCGAATCTGTGGACATTCAGGCTGACAGCTACGCTACGACATGGGACGCATTGATGAAGCGGTACGACAACCGCAAGTACCTGAAAAAGCAACTCTTTAAGGCTCTGTATGATTTACCAGCAGTTAAGCAGGAGTGTGCGACACGCATCCATGGGTTGGTTGACGATTATCAACGCCATGTTCGTACTCTAGCCAAACTTGATGAACCGGTAGATCACTGGGACTTACCATTAACCCAGCTTCTTTTGTATAAACTGGATCATGCAACACTACGTGCGTGGGAGGAGAAAACTAGCCAAAAGGAAGATGTAAAGTACGATGAGCTGATCGAGTTTCTGTACCAACGGGTTCGTATTCTCAACTCCGTCGGACCAGACAATCATCATCTAGCGAAGGTGGCCGGCAATCCACAGAAAAGTTTCAAGCAGAAAGTGTCAGCCAACGCAGCATCCACATCTGCTCCGAGTTACCCGTGTCCGCTTTCATGTTCGGACAATCATTCGCTACGATCCTGTCCAGCGTTTCTTGGAAAGAACGTCGGTCAACGACGAGAGGTAGTTTCCCAGAAACGATTGTGTTGGAACTGCCTCAGCTTCGGTCACCAGTCCAAGAAGTGTGGTTCCAAATTTACATCCTCAGTTCAACAGCCGCTTCCTTCCACGTCACAAATCGTGGAATCCCCTGGCTCCCGCCAAGTCAGCATGGCAGTCCAAACTGCATGCACCATGACATTGTTGGAAACGGTTGTCATCAACATCATCGACGATCACAGTAATATGCACAAGGCTCGAGCTCTCCTCGATTCGGCATCGATGTCGAATTTCATTTCGAAACCACTGGCTAAGAATCTCTACAGTCGCCGATCAACTGTGAACGTTTCCGTTGCAGGCATCGGATCATCCACACAAAAGGTCAGTAGTGCCATTACCGCAACCATCGACTCGGGAGATCGAACGATCTCGATGAAATTGCAGTTTTTGGTACTGAAGCAGCCGTCATCGGAGCTTCCAACAACGCCGATTGATATTTCGGCATGGAAGATTCCGAATGTGAAGCTAGCAGATCCCCAGTTCAGTATTCCCGGAAGTGTTGATCTTGTCATCGGGAGTGAAACTTACTGGGAACTCCACACGGGACGGAAGATTTCTCTTGGTGAAGGTCTTCCGTGGGTAGTCGAAACTTCATTTGGTTGGGCGGTCACTGGTCCCGCATCTCGCTCGGCTACCTGTATTCCACATTTCTGCTATCTATCTACCGCTGACGATCGTCTGGAAACTGCTCTACAAAAGTTTTGGGACATGGAGACGATTCCATCCGAGCCAGTTCGATCTGTAGAAGAAGGTCGATGTGAGGAGTTGTATTCGACAACTACTACGCGCGATTCCAAAGGAAGATATATCGTGCGTCTCCCAAGGGTTGAAGACCCTGAAAAGATTCTCGGCGAATCCAGGTCAATTGCAGATAGACGATTTCTGAGCCTGGAACGTCGACTTGAACGAGATCCTGCAACCAAGGACTCGTATCATCGGTTCATGGAGGAGTATTTACTACTTGGCCACATGAAGGAAGTGCCAGAGCCGGTTAATGACCAAGATCCACACTGCTACATTCCGCATCACGTCGTCTTTAAAGAGTCTAGCACGACCACAAAGGTCAGAGTAGTCTTCGACGCATCATGTAAGACTTCATCAGGCCACTCCTTAAACGATACCCTGCTTGTTGGACCGGTGGTTCAGCAAGACCTCACACGATCTACATGAGGTTCCGAACGCGACTCATCGCATTTGTAGCAGATGTCGAAAAGATGTACAGGCAAGTGTTGCATCATCCCGACGACCTTCCATTCCTACGTATACGATATCGCAGACTTCCATCCGACCCCATCGCTACATTCGAATTACAGACCGTCACATACGGTACGGCTAGCGCTCCGTACCTGTCAACGAAAACACTCCAGCAGATTGCCAAGGATCATGGAGAACTGTATCCTGCTGCAGTTGATTCTGTTGTAGAAGATTTTTACGTCGACGATTTGTTATCTGGGGCTCCGGACGTAGCATCTGCCATAACCCTCCGTCGACAAGTAAGTGCCATGCTCGGTTCCGCTGGGTTCACATTAAAGAAATGGGCATCAAACTCCCGTGAAGTACTAAAGGACGTTCCGCCAAAAGATTTGGCCATTCATTCTCTCCATGATCTCCAAGATGAGGTCGTCGAAGCCTCCGAAAAACGTGTAACGGCAAGTTTGCAATGGCATAACATAGCCATTTCTTAATGAATTTCAGAAATTGTGGTACCTTTAGAATTCCTAGGGTCTGCAGATTATTTTCATTGTAAAAATATTGCAAATAGAGTCGTCTACTTTTTTAAAAAGCGAAAAGAGTTGTTACACGTTTTTTGAAAGGTGTGTTTGTAGGGTTTTGCAAGTGGCGCAAGATATGTAATTTAGATTAATGGGCACAAATGTTCACAATTAGCCAGAATACAGTCATGGTTTCAATCTATGGATCCTGGAGACAACGGAACGGTCCTCGAAAAATCCGGAACATCCGTAAAATGGTCAATCCATGAACCTGATCCTAGAGCTCTGCGGTTTTTTTTTTTTGAAAACATTAGGAACTGTGATATAAAAAATATTTGGGGTCGTGACACAAACATGTACATGGATGGCCATGGGACCGTCCTCAGGAAGATCCGGAACATCCTTAAAAGTGGACAATCCATGAAACTGGTCCTAGAGCTCCGCATTTTTTTTAACATTAGGATCTGTGATATAAGAATGAATTTGGGTCATGGACCCAGATGACCATCGGAAGATCCGGAACAACCGTAAAAGTAGTAAATCCACACATTTCGAACTGTGATGAAAGAAATAATTTGGGGTTGTGATGTAAACATGAACCTGAATGTCCATAGGACCGTCCTCAGGAAGATCCGGAACATCCGTAAAAGTGGTCAATCAATGAAACTGATCCTAGAGTTCCGCAGTTTTTTTTCCAAAAAACATTAGGAATTGTGATATAAGATAGAATTTGTGGTCGTCACAAAAATATTGGATCTGGATGGCCATAGGACCGTCCTCCGGATGATACGGAAAATCCGTAAAAGTGATCCAGTGGTTTCTTATTGCACATTGTTTAAAAAATAACTGCAGAGCTCTAGAATCAGTTTAATAGTATGACAAATTTATGGATGTTGCGGATCTTTCGAAGGACATCCCCATGGCCATCCGGATTCATGTTTATGTCACGACCCTAAATTCTATCTAAAATCGCAGTTCCTAGAGTTTTCGAAAAAAAAACCACGTTTTTTTTTGCAGTTTCATGGATGATCCACTTTTACGGATGATCCGGATCTTTTGGAGGACGGTCCAATGGCCATCCAGGTTCATGTTGATGTCTCGACCCTAAAATCTTTCATATATCACAGTTCAAAGTGTTTTCGACAAAACTACGGAGCTCTAAAAACAGTATCAAGGATGGACCACTTTTACGGATCTTCCAGAGGACTGTCCCATGGTCATTCGGGTCCATGTTTATGTTAAGACCCCAAATTCATTCTAATATCACAGTTCCACGGTTTTTCCGTTCTTGGATCATTTTTATGACTTCCTTGCTTGTAATTTCGGTCTAGGCCTTGTTGTCCGCTTCTCTCCGAAGAAGTCGCCTCCACTCTACTCGATCCATGGCCACACTTCGCCAGCCTCGTAGTCTGCGAAGGGTCCGCAGGTCGCCTTCTACTTGGTCGATCCACCTTGCCCACTGCGCGCTTCTTCTTCTTGTTCCTGTTGGGGCGCTTTCGAGAACCTTTTTCACTGGGTCGTCGTGCAGCATTCTTACGACGTGCCCAGGCTACCGTAGTCGCCCAATTTTCGCAATGTGGACGATGGGTGGTTCTCCCAGCAGCTTGTGTAATTCGTGGTTCATTCGCCTCCTCCACGTCGTCATCCATCTGCACTGCACCGTAGATGGTACGCAACACCTTCCGTTCGAAAACACCAAGGGTGCGTTTGTCCTCCACGAGTATAGTCCAGGTCTCGTGGCCGTAGAAGACCACCGGTCTTATCAGCGTCTTGTAGATAGTCAGTTGACGTGCGGCGGCGAATTTATTCGACCGGAGTGTCCTACGGAGTCAAAGTAGGCACGATTCCCGATGATGCGTCTTTGAATTTCTCTGCTGGTATCATTTTCGGCGGTCGCCAATGAGTCCAAATACACGAACTCATCGACCACCTCGAACCTCTGTAGGCGGCGCTCAGCATTGTGATCGCGTGGTAGCTGCAGCAATCCAACTTGTCGCCCTTTTTGTAGATTGGGTATATGACACCTTCCATGCACTCCTCCGGTAATATCTCTTCCTCCCAAATCTTGGCAATTACCCAGTGCTTCACCACCGTATTTTAATAGCTCACTTGGTTGTTGATCAACACCTGTTGCTTTGTTGTTCTTCAGCCGACCAATCTCCTCCTCAACCTCTTGAATATCAGGGGTTGGTAGCCTGTCGTCTTCCAAGGTCTGTTGCCGTACAACCGTCGTTTTCTGCTGCATCACCGTTGAGGTGCTCGTCATAGTAATGCTTCCACCTCTCAATTTTATGGAGTGACCATTTTACGGATGTTTTTGATCTTCCGGATGACGGTCCCATGGCTATCTAGGTACATGTTTATGTTACGACCACAAATTCATTCTTATATCACAATTCCTAATGTTTTTTGGAAAAAAAAACTGCGGAGCTCTAGGATCAGTTTCATTGATTGACCTCTTTTACTGATGTTCTGGACTTACCAGAGGATGGCCCCATGGCCATTTGGGTCCATGTTTATGTCATGACCCCAAATTCTTTCTTATATCGCAGTACCACATGCTTTCGAAAAAACCGTAGAACTCTAGGATCAGTTTCGATGTTCTAGATCTTGCGGAGGACGGTCCCATGGCCTTCTAGGTACATGTTGATATGACGACCGCAAATTAATTTATATATGACATTTCCAAGTGTTTTCGAAAAAACCGTGGAGCTCTAGGATCAGCTCCATACATTGACCACATTTACGAATTTTTCGGATCTTCCGGAGGACGGTCCAATGGCCATCTGGGTCCATGTTTATGTCACGATCCCAAATTCATTTTAATATCACAGTTCCTAACGTTTTCAAGAAAACCACGGAGCTCTAGGATCAGTTTCGTAATTTTTTCACTTTCACGAATGTTCCGGATCTTCCGGAGGACGGTCGCATGGCCATCAAGGTCCATGTTTATGTCACGACCCCAAATTCATTCTATCATCTCAGTTCTTAGTGTTTTTAAAAAACTGCGGAGCTCTAGGATCAGTTTCATGGATTGACCACTTTTACGGATGTTCCGGATCTTCCTGAGGACGGTCCTATGGCCATCCATGTACATGTTTGTCTCACGACCCCAAATATTTTTTATATCACAGTTCCTAATGTTTTCAAAAAAACCGCAGAGCTCTAGGATCAGGTTCATGGATTGACCATTTTACAGATGTTCCGGATTTTTCAAGGACCGTTCCGTTGTCTCCAGGATCCATAGATAGAAACCACGACTGTATTCTGGCTAATTGTGAACATTTGTGCCCATTAATCTAAATTACATATCTTGCGCCACTTGCAAAACCCTACAAACACACCTTTCAAAAAACGTGTAACAACTCTTTTCGCTTTTTAAAAAAGTAGACGACTCTATTTGCAATATTTTACAATGAAAACAATCTGCAGACTCTAGGAATTCTAAAAGTACCACAATTTCTGAAATTCATTAAGAAATGGCTAAGTTATGCCGTTGCAAACTTGCCGTTACACGTTTTTCGGAGGCATCGTATTCGGAGTGTTAAAGCAAATCGGAATTTTAAAAAATTGGAGATTTTTCTTTCTTTCAAACATGAGTAGTTCTTTGGAGTCTTGTTGTTTTAGTTATTTTTTGCACAGTAAACGCAGCTTATCATAAAATTAAGACAAATCGAAATTTAAAAAAAACATTACATTTTTTCTTCTTTCAAACATAAGCAGTTCTTTGGAGCTTTGTTGTTCAGCATTTGGCCAAACGGCATTCGGCCAAACGGCATTCGGCCAAACGGCATTCGGCCAAACGGCATTCGGCCAAACGGCATTCGGCCAAGCGGCATTCAGCCAAACGGCATTCGGCCAAACGGCATTCGGCCAAACGGCATTCGACCAAACGGCATTCGGCCAAACGGCATTCGGCCAAACGGCATTTGGCCAAACGGCATTTGGCCAAACGACCCATTCTTTCAAATATCGGTAGCCACAACTTGAATGCTTTTTCCGATTGAAAGTTGTTGGGTTTCATGCTTGAATCGAAAGTACTTGATGACGGCCAACTCCGACGGCAAACGGTTTCTGGGCAAATGCTCCCTCGCAATACCGGTGATGAGATCCGACTTGAGCTTGGTTTTTGGTGACATGATTTTCTTTTTTGGTTCTGCTTGCTACGGCAATCAAATGAAAACTAATAAATTGTGTGATCCCTCTCCGCTCATATATCCTCCTATTGAATTCTAGAAACTTCGAAACAAATGTTATCAAGTGAATTGTAACAAAGTAGGTGATTTGTATATATCGATTTTAATGATAGTTTGATTTGCAAGTGGACATACTGCAAGTATTGAAATTCTGAACTTTTCTTTCCATAGTAAATCACGAATAACTTTTTAACGGTTAAAAATGAAGCTAAAGTATATGCACCCAAAATTTTTGCTTATAAAATTTCCCATATATTTGCTG